AAAAAAAAAAAAAAAAAAAAAAATCAGCTGGGAAACTGAACTGAATTTAAATTAGTGTCTTTTTATCTTCTATTTTGATTAATGGCTAATTATAATAAATAGTTAATTATAATAAGAATTGTTCTTATTTAACCTCTTTGCATAAAATCACAATCTTTAGTCTTTATATCACATGGTCACTTACAGGATGCTAGTATTATTGCTTCACAACTTAGGACCCAAAGATTTTCTGTACTCTATACATGCAACAGTAGAATCTAGATCCCCTATCTGATTTTATTTTTATGAAAATGTTTGATTACCACTCACTTTCAAAATAAATTTTTAATCTATTTTTATGTTTTCTTTCTTGTCTTTTTTCCTCCTCCTAGTTAAGGGCAGTGAATTTCCTGACTGATAAAAGGCTGTGTAAAAGATTACATGCCTGCAGTATGTTCATTTCTATAATGCAGAATCTTTAGTAAGTGTAGTTTTCATGAAAATACTTTCTAGCAACCTTAAACTTACAAAGGTTTCTCATAAAAGAACTCTACTTTTACACTATCTTTCAATATAGGAAAACTATATTTTCTCTTTTTTCCAAAGAGAAAAAATTCGACAGTAGAGTTGAGAACTTATGACAAGAGAAGGTGTATTTTAGTATCTTTCAAGACCATGAAGGAAGGACATCACAAATAATTGTCTCTTAAAGCTTCCCAGGTCTGGGCACAGAACTTTAAGTTGGGAAAATGAAGATTAAAAAAGATTAAACTCAATAGTTGCTCAATAGACAAGTAAGATTGAAGCTAACCACTTTACTGTTTCTTAGGCAGAACCACATCGAGAGAGGTTTTATACTCAGCTCCTAGGTTTTCATAACAGACTGTACATGCTACAAATTTTTTTTAAATAAGCTTATATATTTCATAAATACTCATTTATATCAGCAATTAAGATGCAAGCTTCTTAAGGGCAAACCAAGACACACACACGCACTCTTCCCAGAACAGGATTGGGTTTTTTCCCACTTAGTAAACATTGAATGGTTTATTAGAAAGCTTTTTAAAATTGAAATCTTTTCCCCATCTTAAAGTTCCTTTACTTTTAATTTAAAAGTATTGTTTATTCTGATGATGGATTGTCTGCCCCCAAATTATTTGACTTTTCTTAATACAGTTAATATTATTTCTCTTTGGCGCTGATGTAACTTTTTACTTTTAGATGCTCACCAGGTAGAGGTTATCGACTACCAACAAGTGCCTTGGTGAACCTTTCTCACGGGACTCGCTCTGAAACTGGAAATCAGAAGTTGACAGCCATTGTGAAACCACAACCAGCTGTGAATCACTATAGCTCAAATTCACCAATTTCGTCTGGACATCTGGGAGGCCTCAACCATTCCCCTCAGTCACTTTTTGTTCCTGCTCATGTAAGACTCTGTCTGTAATTTCTCTTCATCCCCTTTACAGATCATAAATCACAGCAAACTTTTGTAAGTAGAAACCTAATTTCACTGTTTTTGATCCAAGTCACAAAAACAGATTTGTTTTAAGATAGCAGGCTAGTAAAGAGTGCTATTGACAGTATCTTATTTCTGTTATAGAATTATACTCATATTAAAGAAGAAATACATTTATTTAAATAGGGAACTTGATAATGTTGATGTTTTCAAATTAATTTAAATTAAAATTAATAATTTTTTTCTTATAAAATCCAAATGTCCTGCCAGGCACAGTGGCTCACGCCTGTAATCCTAGCACTCTGGGAGGCTGAGGTGGGTGGATTGCCTGGGCTCAGGAGTTTGAGACCAGCCTGAGCCAGAGCAAGACCTCATCTCTAAAAATAGCCATGCACTGTGGCAGGCATCAGTAGTCACAGCTACTTGGCAGGCTAAGGCAGGAGAATCACTTGAGCCCAAGAGTTTAAGGTTGCTGTGAGCTGTGATGCCATGACACTCTACTGAGGATGACATAGTGAGACTCTGTCTCCAAAAAAAAAAATCTAATGTGCTATGTTATCTATGAATGACATAAGTTTGAAAGGTAAAATAAGAGAACACTATACCACATTTATCAAAGACAATTTTCAAGTCCCTGCTATGTAACTCATGGGGGTTTCCTTTATTTTATCTTTCTGGGGACAAAAATTAACATGTCTCATATGAGACACTTTATTTATTTTGAAATAAGGTACATGTATTTCAAGTCAAGTATACTTAACCTCATTTTAGATCCAGCTAAAGATAATCTGTAACTTTTTTTTTTTTTTTTGAAGACAGTCTCACTTTGTCACCTCTGGTAGAATACTGTGGAGTCACTCAAACCTCAAACACTTGAGCTCAAGGGATTCTCTTGTCTCGGCCTCCCAAGTAGCTGGGACTATAAGTGCCCACCACAATGCCCAGCTGTTTTGTTATTGTAATTGTCATTGTTTGGCAGAACCAGGCTGGGTTTGAACCTGCTAGCTCTGTTGTATGTGGCTGGCACCCTAGCTGCTGAGCCTGAAGTCCCTCTTATAATTGAGAGATGCTTTATTTAGTTCCATGTCTTTTTTTTTTTTTTTTT